GTCGCGTCTATGATCTTCTTTCATCAATCCATTCTGCGCAATAGACAGAATTCACTTTTTTTGTTTATTACGAAAGGAATCCATTCCCAAGAAATTGCGTTAGAAAAATTTTTCCTATCGATTGTGTCATATTGATAAATTCGTCTATTGACCAAACACTACTATGGTTTTTATTTTCCGATAATCGGGGGGCGGTGTGTCGCAGCCCTCATTATGTCGTCTCTCACAATAGTTTTTCAACAAACATTGTGAATGATAGTCGGATCGTGGCAAATAGAAGATTAACTGATCCAACTTTAGAAGCGTCTTCATAAAAGTATGAACCTATTGCTTGTTTATTCTTAGGTAATAAGTTAACTTGTGATTACAAGCCTTTTGCGGCTGTTCCGTTTGATATATTTATATTGTGTCACAATTCAAGGATAACTTTGTATTAAAGCAATAAATTCGAAAGCTTTGTTTTCATGTGGCTCAGTGAACTGAGTATGGAACGGTGACTTAAGAAGCGCCATGATAACTGAGGGTTTTTCCCGCCTAGTATTCCTGTATATTAACCGAACATTTTTCGCTTGCTCTTTAAATTTTTGAACAATAGTGATCTTTTTAATTTTTGAGCATCAGTGATGTCCCAACAAGATTCAGTCACGGCTCGCGTCGTTTTTGTTACATGTCCAGACGAGTCTGTGGCCAAAAAATTATCTAACGGTTTGACTTATTTGCTTTCTACTTCCCAATTTAGCATTAAAAATTTTAATTTGTTTATAACAAATAAAAAGGTATAGTCAAAGAGAAACTTGCCGCTTGCGTCAACATTATCCATGGGTTAACCTCGATTTATTGTAAGTTGTCAGATATTACCTATTTTTTGTGTACCCCTCCCATTTTCGTGCACTTATTTCGGGACACGATAACCTGACGGATTTGCGCCAAAAATATCACCATTCAAATTCTTCTCATCGAGGCGAATCTAATGTCAGTATATCGTGTCCCGAAATAAATGGGAAGGATACACCGAAAATAGGTAGATTTACCTTATGTCCGGAATTCCTTTTTTTACAATCAATTACGTTCTGAACTTTAAAATTTTTATTTTACAGGGTGGGAAGGAAAACTCGAGGAGACCACGGAACACATGCTCGTCATAAAAACTGAAGAAAAACATATTCGGGAACTTACAGATTATGTTAATAAGAATCATGGATATGAAGTTCCTGAAGTCATCTCAATTAAGGTAAGCGGAATTTTTGGGTTTACGATCTTG